CTGCTGAAAAGACCTCCCAGACTGTGCACCTCCACCTCCAGGTTCCCAAGAGGTGCCTGATGCCCATGGATGGAAGCAAGGGGAGCACCTCTGCTATGAGAAAAGGCTGAGTTTGGGTTGTTCAGCCTAGGGAAGGCTCCAGGGAGGCCTTACTGTGGTCATTCAATACTTAGAAGGGGCCTATAGAAAAGACGGTGATAGACTTTTTAATTAGGCCTGTAACGATGGGATGAGGGGTGATGGGTTTAAACTAAAAGATCTAGATTGAACATAAGGAAGAAATGTTTTACTGTGAGGGTGCTGAGGCACTGGCAGAGGGTGCCCAGAGAAGCTGTGGCTGCCCCATCCCTGGCAGTGTTCGAGGCCAGGTTGGACACAGGGGCTTGGAGCAACCTGCTCTAGTGGAAGGTGTCCCTGCCCGTGGCAGGGGTTGGAGCTGGAGGAGCTTTAAGGTCGTTTCCAAGCCAAACTATGCTGTGATTTTGTGATTTCCTCTGCTGCTGCGAGAACAAAGGTCTCACCTGGAACCTGGGTAAGCTGTCCAAGCCTGGGAAGTCCTCTATGTCACCTGTGCTGATGTTGAAGCAAGCTCCATGCCAGGGACAGCGGACTCTTCCTTTGGACAAAACCCCTGCAGGGAACATGGCAATGAAGAGTTGGTGCTGCCCTGCAACTGCCTCCTGTCCCTGCCTTCAGCCCACGGAGATCATTGCCAGGGCAGGGGTGGCAGAGGCAGGTATCCCTCTGGCTGTCCTGGTGGTGCTGACCTCTTAACAGCTGAAGGTTGGTGCCCAGGGCCTCCTGCAGTGGCAGGAGCCGTCATCCTCAAAGTTCACACTCTGTGAGCATGTCCCCATGACACTCCTTTACCCAGAGATGTGACCTTTCCTACAGGACACGTGGCAGCTCTTGTGGACCTGGATGGTCAACAGCATCTTGGCTACTTGATGTGGAATTACCTTCCCTCACACATGGGACTGGGATAGAGGCTGAATAGTTACCAACTGGGATCCTGTGTAAGTGATCACAGCTGGAATGCCCTCACTGACAGTGCCCTTCCAGCACCTCCAAAGCTGTCTGCTCTGCCTGGAACATAACCTTACCCTGCAGCAGGGCCTGGGGCTGTAGTCTCCAGGCTCTTATAGTCACCTCCACAAGCGCAGGAGCACCCAGAGCAAGCAGCGCCTCAAGCAGAGCATCACTTGCTTAGAGCAGGTGTGTTTCAGAACAGATCCTGACACTGCACGGAGCCTCCCCACTGCCAGGGAAGCACAGGGCATGCCTGAAGCCATGAGCTCACTCTTCATGAGTGCTTGCTCAGAGGCTGTTAACTTGGACTTTGGCTTTCCCTGCCTGAAACCCTGGGGCAGACTGAACAGCTACAGTCTGGCCATGCTGGACTGGTCCTGTGCTCGCACCTTCAGCAATGCCACATCTCATCTTCCACTACATGGTGGGATGCAGGAGCATTACTTCTGCAGCAAACCTTGTACTTCCCAGTGAGATCCCCGTGTAAGCAGCCAGCCTGCCAGTGTCAGGGCTGTGACTGCAGGTCTCTGAAAGGCAGACAGGCTCCTCTGCCCTGAGAGGGACTAAGACCATCCCCTCCCACAGCCACACCGCACCCTGCCAGCAGCGCCCAGAGGGCACGCAGCAGGATGCTCTGTGCAGGATCCCACCTCCAGCAAAGTGCCCCCACCCCTAGTTTGGGTGATGCGCATCCCCAGCACACAGCCCAGGACCCTGGGCAGGGACTAGCCTGAAGCCTGTGCTGAGAAAATGCCAGGAGACATATTTTTAAGTGCCAACATGGGAAACCACTTCAACACCCCACCATCCCACAGCAACATTCCACCACCCCACAGCAACATTCCACCACCTCACAACAACACCCCACCATCCCACAACAACATCCCACCATATCCCACCAGCAACATTTCTTTTTGCTACTAAAAGGATCCCACTAGACCAAAGAGCTCCCTCCTTCCCCCCCACCAGGATGTGATTTACAGAAGCTGTGGGTTTGTGGGGTTTTTTGTGAAAAAACATAAGGGGATGGTTATTTTCCCCTTTAGGACATTTTTTAAACTCCTCAGTGGCTGGAACTGGTGAACAGAATGTGAAAAGCCCCATAAAACCAGGCTTTGTGTGGGCACAGGGAGCTGCAGCTCTTTTGTACCATCCAGAGAGGCTCAGCTCCACCTGAAGCATGAACAGAAGCCGAATTTAATGGTGCCCATGCTAGTTTTTAACTCAAAGTCACCCAAGGAAGCCCCAGCCCTGTGACAGGCAGTTGCAAGCAGGGCTCACCAGCAAACCATGCCTGTGGCAAAGCGCTCCCGGGAGGTCTGTGCACCCCCAGCTCCCTGCACATGCTTTCCCCCAGTGAGAACATACCAAGGTGTGAGGTGTGCTGAGTGAGGGCACAGCACTGCCGTGTGCCCAGCAGCACAGCCAGATGGACACCAGCCTGTGTCCACTGGACTGCTCACTGGACTGGTGATGCAGACAGACCTTTGACCAGTGGAGCCCCATAGTGGGGACACTTGTGTCCCATAGCGTGGAACTCGCCGTTCTCCTTGATGAGCAGAGCCTTCCCGCAGCCCAGGTCCACTTCCCGCATCCTGGGGAGGAGAAGGACGGAAAACACATGGCAGAGCATCCGCCACCCCCTCAGCCTGCACCAGTCCTGTCCCACCAGGCTCCCTCTCTCTTTCAACTTGCTCAGCACCAGCTCTAGGTGACCTACAGGTCTGGGTCAGCCCTGTCACGGAGCCAGCTTTGGAGGTGGCTCTACTGCTCTCAGCCTGAGCACATCCAAGCTGGGCCATTGAGGGGAAGCGTCTTCATCCATCAAGAAGCAGTGGCCCAATGCAGTGGCCCAAAGCACCACCCCAGTTGCTGAGGAAGTGACTGGAGGTCTCCACCCAAGTGCCGGGGGTCAGAACAAAGCTTTCCAGCACATAGTGGGAGCAAGAAACCCAATTGGTTTCACTGTGACACTCCCCTCCTGGCCCCAGCGGCTCAGCAGCTGCTGCAGGCTGGTGTTCACTTGCTCAAAGCAAACACAACTTTTCTCAGGCTTGAAATCCAGTTCTGACCCTTTGTGTATTCCAGCCTTGGGGTCATGCTCTGGGCCTGGCTGCATCCCAGCTCGCCAAGACGGGTCACCTCTTCCTCAGGACACCAGGCACCTCCGTGTACCCTCCTCACTACCTCCTGATGCTGTTTCTGCAGAGGAAATCTCTGCATCATAGAGGGGCTTTGCCCCTCTGCTGCTGCTGGCAGAGCCTTCCAGCTAACCATGGAGGAAAGCCAAGAGACAAGGAGCGAGCCCTCAATCTGCAGGGAGCTAGAGCACAGAGCTGCCGTTCCCTGGAAACTTCCTCTCTTGCAGCTGGAAAGCCTATCCCCACATGGTGTTGATCTGAAAATCCTGGTTGTTCCTGTTGCATGAAGTGGACCATTTCTACAGCAAGCCTGGCATGTTGCATTTGATGTACTGAATACACCACTGTGCACACAGCAATTCCCATGTGCTCAAGAAAGCTACTGGCCACATGTGAGCCCTGAACACTGTTCAGGTACTATAGGTCTCAGAGTCTCAGAAGAATGGGACTCGCTTTGCATGCTCATTCCTGTTTGGGTAACACCCCAACTCTATCCTGTCACTTGCACCCAGGCTACAGAGACACTTGTCCTGCTCTCTACTTCACAGCCATGGAGATGAGACCAGGGATCAATCCACCAGCACCCCTGTACAACCTGCAGACTCATCCTGGGCAAGTCTTTGTGCAGGTGCCTGCTCCACCTTCATCAACTGTCCCACTGGAGTAACAGCAAACGCTCACTTCCTTGCTATCCCAGGTGAGAAAAGCAGCAGAGCTCCTGCCCTTGGAGCTGTTTTGTCCCAGTAAATTGGCAGCCCCACTCTGGAGCCGTGCAGCATTGCTCCTTCCCCGTACAGGACACTTGGCACTTGGAGGTCCCTTGGTCAGCACAATGGGAATACAGCAGTACAAGTCCTGCTGCATTCCTCAGCTGTGCAGTACTTCAGATAAACCCTGTGGTTAAATGACAACCATGACTCTACAGGAAGATAGATAAGATAAGTGAACGAGTTTACAACTTACCCAAGGAACTACGTGATCTGAGAGAGTTGAAAAGGAGACCTGGTGTCTTCAAGGCAGCACACAGCCACCCGCAAGGCTCCTGATCCCACACTCACTGCAGAGGATGATTTGTGCTGCACTGCTCCCTGCTGAGCTGTTTACACAGTTGGGAATTTGCCCTGTTGCCCCATTCCACTCCACACCTAGTAAGCACCAGCTAAAACTCATCTCTGGTCTGCCAAGAACCTTTGCTCAGAGGGAGCACTGGGGCTTCTTTCTGTCTGTAGCTCATTGATGTCCCCGCAGTGAGCCCACTGGGAGGCTGCCTGGCTACAGCAGCACTAGAGTTTATCCTCCAGTATCTTTTATGGTTATGGTGAGATCATCTTGGTACCAGAAAGATAGAAATGGTGGCCTAAAAGAGTATGTTGAGTGCTTGCAGACTCCAGCAGCACAAGGTAGAGGTGCCCTAACCCTTGTGCCAGTGCCCCACACTGCTGCTGTGCCTATGCACCCCCCTGCCCAGCATGCTCCTTGAGAGAAGGGATTGAGAAGGTTGAGAAGATTTTCCAGGATGGAAAATCCCTCCAGAGTCAGAAGGGGCTCCTTTGGCCCATTGCTTACACAAGCCATGGGACCTTCTTTCAGCATCTCTGTTTTCAGCTAGACTCAGCCTGCTGGAAAAAAAGCTGTTGTCAACTTGAACTGCCCAGTGGTGTAAGCCCGTACGGCACTTGGTGGCGTCCTTCAGTACCTGAGCGCACAGGCAGCTGAAGTGTGAGCCCAGTTTCCAGACTGACGGCAGTTTTAGCTGCAGAGCACCCTGCCACAACCACCTGCAGCCAGGTATGTTCTCACAGGCTGCAGCCAGCTCCCTCCTCACATTCCCTGTGAGCAGCAGAGCTCTTTGAATCACAGAATCATAGAACAGTTTGGGTTGGAAAGGATCTTAAGATCAGCATGTTGAGAAATTCTGCTACAGAACATCCAGCCTCTTTAAGATGAGGCCCAGGGCAGACCATGCAGGGAGCAGCAGACTGTCTGGTTAAAGAATAGTTGTCACCTGTCCATGATGTCATTTTTTTAAGATGAAGAAAAAAGTTTATTTTACAAAGTCAAGTTATCATCTCTAGAACCTCTGAAGAACAAGACATGGGGTTCAGTTTGCGGTAGAAGTTCTCTCAAGTTCTACCTGTAAAAACTGTAGGCACTTACTGTCCATTCTCCAGGTCCTTCACGTGGCACACAGACGCTTCCACCACATCCTTTGGGTTGTGGTAGGGGTTGCTGGCAATGGGATGCTCCTCGAGATGATAATGCCGGGCAGTCCCGTTGACTTTGTAGATCAGGGGACTGGCTTTCCCATTGGGCGACATCTCCTCCTTGCTCCTCTCCTTCTCAGGTATCACAACTTCAATTTTCACTTCAACTGCAGGAGCAAACAGAAACCTTCACTCAAATGAAGCTGGAGGTTTTGCTGCCATTCTGCCTCCCCCTCCTTCCCTGGGCTTCAAAAGGGGCTGACACACACCAGAACGTTTCTTTGTTGGCTTGCTTGGGAAGACAAAACATTTAGTATCAAACTCAGCTTGATTACTCAAGCCCATTATTCCACTGTTCTTTCTCCATCAGGCACCTTTATATGCATAAAGTACATATTCTTGCAAGCAAACATTAGTCATCAGTGCAAAACAAGCCCTCAGTCACAGTTCCTGTCCTGTTTAGTGGAAAACAGCTTCAGGCAGCTAAATGTGAGGCATACCAAGGCCTCTGGGGCTCAGACTTCAGAAAACCCTTGAATTGTTGGTAGGTTACATTAACTGAACAAGAAAGGCAGCACAGCGCGGTGGATAAAGATGCATCAGTAGATGGAGACCAATTAATAAGAAACTAGAAATACCCAAAATTATTTCTGCCTTGGGGTTTCCAGCATGGATTGAACCTTCAGCATCCAGTGAGAAAATCCATTGGTGAGGTGCTGGCACAGGGTGCCCAGAGAAGCTGTGGCTGCCCCATCCCTGGCAGTATTCAAGGCCAGGTTGGACACAGAGGCTTGGAGCAACCTGCTCTAGTGTTAGTTGCCCCTGCCTGTGGCAGGGGGTTAGGACTGGAGGAGCTTTAAGGTCCCTTCAACCCAAACCGGGCTGGGATTCGATGATTCCAAGGCAGCCCCTTTGCTGCGTACCTGTGCGGAGCTGCGCTGCTGCTGTAGAGCTCCAGGAATAAACTTGCTCACAGCAATATTTTATCTTTAGTGATTTTTAACATGTTTGAACATTTGCAGGAGCTCCTGCAGGTGCCACAGTGCAACAGAGGTTCACATTGTCTGTTGGTTCAGCGTGGATACACAGAAAATGGCTTTACTGGATCTGTTCATCAGACCCCTGGTGGAACCTGCCCCTGTGGGTCTGGCACTTTGACCAACCTTCCCCTTGACCTTTCCTTCCATCATCCTCTAAAGAGACTCGAAATAAGCAGCGTGGGGCAACAGGGGAAGCTGGGAAGACCCAGCACCCTTCTCTTGCTGCAGGGCTTGTCTTACTCTTCCGAGGCATGTTGTTCCCTCCCTTTGCCTTTCCTTAACCTGGTTATGTCATGAGCTTTAGTTTTTATCTTCTGCACAGCTTTTCCTGTTCATGACATTCATAAGATGAGGAAAGCTCAGCAATCTCTCTTTTGCTTGAGATGCTTCTTCAGTCTCTGGCACTTACCCCCCTGGCTCTCTATAGAACTCCCCAGGGTTTATTATGAATATTAATGGCTTTAGTTCTATGAACTGCCTGGGAGCTAAAGTGATGGGTTTGACTTTATAATGTCACTGGCTTCCTCTGGTGCTCCTGTGTCCAGCCCACCCCAAGTACAGGGGTGGGAGTGTGTGTCCTCCCCTCTGAGGAGCTCGGATGAACTTCTGCATGTCTTCACCTGGGGGGCTGAGGAGAGCCCCTGGGCTCCCCCACCCCTGCATGGGGATGGGAGGACTAGCAGCACCTCCGTGTCTGGCAGGGAGACACGAAGGGAGCAGCCCCAGCTGTGCCATGCCAGGGGCTGCCTTGCTCCATCGCTGCCCACGGCGGCACACAGGGTGGCTGGTGGGACCAAGGGGTCACACTGGCTAATGGTGCTCCTTCTGATGGCCAGCGGCAGCTCCTCCTTGTCCCTGGGTCCCTTGGTCCCCTGGTCCACAAGTCAGGGATGCTTTTATTGTCAAACCTGTTCAGTAGCGTACACAAAAGATAAAAGCAATCCTTGCTTTTCACAGAATCCCAGACTGATTTGGTCTGGAAAGGAAAGGACCTCAAAGCTCATCCAGTTCCAACCCCTGCCATGGGCAGGGACACCTTCCACTAGAGCAGGTTGCTCCAGGTTGCTGGGCTTAAACCAGCTTAAACCATGATATCTTCCCATAGCCAACACAGAGCAAACCCACCACCGTGGGAGAGGTCTGGGGGCTCGCTGTCCCAGCCAGAGCCAAGCTCTCCAGGCACCCCCAGGCTTGACCACACTGCCTCTGAACTGCAAACCTCGATGACAGCTACTTCAGGTGCTCTCAAAGAGACTCCAAACCATTTCTATTAACAATAGCAGAGCTAACAACAAAGCCATTATATCAGACGTAACTCTACCCTCCCTCCTCCAGATGCCCTGTTCAACACATGCCACACTCTCAAAAAACAGGAGGTAGGACTTGCCAGCCAGACCTGGGGGCACCTCAGAGCAAAGCATCCCCTCCAGTAGTGGGCAGAACCCCTGTGAAGGGGACACTTTCCCTGCTCAGATCCAAAGCCTCCTGCGCGAGGACGAAGCACCCCGCAGACACGCCGCACTGTGCTGGAGCTGCCCCCCCATCACGAGCTGAGCCCAGCAGAGTGCAAAGGAAAATACCCACCACCTCACAGGTTTTGGAAGCTGCTCTCCCATGCCTGGTGCAGCAACGGTGCTGCTGCAGCTCACACCGGACAGCCCCTGACCCACCAGGGGTCCCTTCACTCTCACCCTGACCTGGCTGCCTCTCCCGGAGTGGACACTGGGATCCCACGCAGGCTGCCAGCTGGCAGCTACCGCGGATGCACCACGCTCCCGCAGGGAAAAGCAAGGCAAAAATGATGCAGAGACTGAGACCTGGGCCTGCAGCCGAGGATCCAGCCGCACAGGGCTCTGCAGCACCGGATATAACAAAAGATGACATCATTGCTTGAATATAATAAATACTTGAATATAATGAATATAATTAAACACTTCGGTATCAGGACGGGCTCAGGTGCTGCAGCAGCACTTCAGGGCTGGTCTCCAGTACAGCCAGCACAGCTATTGACTGCTGCAGGACTCCACTCCCCAAAGCTCTGGTACTCTTGATCTCCTCATCAAAAGATCTTCCTGGCACACAGCAACATATGTGCAGTGTCAAGGTTATCTCAAGATACACTGAGGATGCTCAGGGAGGGGACTGAGGGTCTCTCTCAGGTATCAGAAGATGGAACAGACAAGGACCTCCTGTACATCTTTCAAAAGCCTCTAAATAAATTCTGATGACATCAGGCTGCATCTGAAATAGTCCCTTCATGTCATGACAGCGCTGATGGAGGAAAGAGCTCTGCCCTATCCCTGCATGGGTTGCTTCTCCTGTGTACAGGGGGTAGGCTTCCAGAAACTGGGAAGCCCACTGCTCTGCTCTGGTGGTGCAGGTCTTGGCCAAGAATGGGATTAACAAACAGCACTGAAAGCCTGTGAAACCTTTTTGCCAGAACAATCAGCATCTGCAAACCCATGTTTACCTCACTGGTTGTATAACCACTGCAAAGTGCTAAGCAGGGCTGCGAAAAGGCTTGTCAAAAGCCTTTGAAGACTGCTAATCAAAAGCAGAGCTGCAGAAAAAGCCTTCCATTACAGGGTGGCATTTTCAGTCATTCAGCCCTGCTATGCAAACACAACTCTCTGAAAATCTGCCCTTCAGGGAACATGCCTGCAGAGCACTGTTATCCCTCCACTATACGCCCAAGACTATACACAACTTTGCTGATGCTACACAAAATAAAGCGGAACTGCCAGCAGAGTTTATCACAAGTTTAGTCAACAAAGGCATTTATTCCCGGATGCATTTTCTCTCCTTAAACATTTCGAGAAAGGCTATAACCAGTGTTGGGTTTTCACAAAAGAAACTTAAGAGCTCACAGCGTGCGACGCTATGTTACCTTGGCACTGCAGTGACCCGCAGAGTAATCACAGTACAGGTCAAGGGCAGAAAACCTCCTTTATTTTCTCCTTGTGCTTTGCAAAGCAAAGGCTGAGGACCCACGCAGTGGATGCTCAGTGGGTCACACACACAACGTGTATCATCCCTCTGACCTTTGGAGTCCTTCATCCTGAAATCCTCACTGCCTGAGGCAATGAAGACAAATTGCCAATAAAAGGTCCCGCAAAAGACATTTTTCCACCCACAAAGATGCTGAGCGATTCTGCTCCCACTTGGGCATGAGCAGGTAACAAGGACAAGGTCGTGCTTCAGCTCCCTCTTAGGTGGCCAAAACAAGCTGCAGGATGAGAGCTCTCCTCATACAGACCTCTGGTAACACTAACTGCACCAGCATCGGTTCCTGAGGGACTAGCACTGGGGTGATGCAGGTGCTGTTGGGTATGATGAACTTGCCCCATCCAACCTGTCCTCAAACACTGACAGGGATGGGGCAGCCACAGCTTCTCTGGGCACCCTGTGCATGCACCTCAGCACCCTCACAGGGAAAAGCTTCTGCCTAAGAGCTCATCTCAATCTCTGTTCTTTCCCTCAAAAATATCCAGGAAAAGGTTTTGACCAAACTGTGTCACAGTCTCACTGGTAGAGGAGAGTGCGAGGGCACCACACTCAGCGCATGGGAAATCCAGAGATTGGAGCAGCCCCAGGATCTGGCCTAGCTGGTGGGACTGAGAAAGCACCACAAAATCAAGCAGTAGGTGGTCCTGATCCTTACGTGGTCATTTCCTTCCAGCAGGGACAAAACTAAGGGCTGGCCAATGAGTAGCAAAGCTGGGGCAGCAAGGAAGGTGCTAGAGGTAAGTATGAGGACCATACGGGGACACACAAACCCACCCTGGGGTATAACAGGGCAGAAGCAGTGAGGGTGGTGGGGGCATGAGGAGATGGGACAGGGAAGTCCTGGCAGGGGGTGTTTGGACGGATTGGAGGGTGCAATCCACCCACAGCACCTCTGCAGCCCCAGCACAGCTCCCTGCAGGGAGTGAGAGTGCAGAGGAATGTGGGGGGATTAAGGGGCTGGTTAATCCTCCCTGCAGGAGTGGAGAATTAACATTCCCCTGGGCAGCAGCTGCCGCTGACCTACTTCTCCCCACAGGATGGAGAGCAGTCACCTGGTTTGGGTTTGGAGAAGCATCCTCCCATGGCGCCAGGCAGGACGGGGACAGCGGGCAGGTCAGCACGGCCGCAGGCACATCCTCGGCTGATACACCACTGCTCACTGCTCACACTGGCCTGGGCTCGACGTCAGTCACAGCCTGCACTGGGCAGAAAAGCTCTATGAGTACTGGCACAGGCAGGGAACGTGGGTGCTCCAGTGAGCAGAACACGAGCCAGTGGTTGTGCCAAGCCATGGGTGATGGAGCATAGGGGCAAGTCACACTGAGCCCCAGGCACCCCAGTGACATGAATGATGGGGGGAGATGTGATGCTGGGGTTGCCGGGCTGGAGTCACAGTGAATTCAGTTGTGAAGTTCAAAACTTCATTCATCCTTTCAAAGTTCAAAGTTACAAAACCCCTTGGATCCTTCACATTCAGACTTTAATCACTTTCCAAAGCCCTACCTTCGGGAGTTAAATCTCAAAGCTTGCAGGTCACAGCCCAAATACAATGGTTAAACCATAAATACATCTCTAGTCAGGTTTGTTTCTTTCATTAGTAGATGATGGAAAAAGAAATCTAGTCTACTGCCCAGTCCTGTAAGTTCCCCCTTTCCAGTAATTCTCATTCCTGCAGAAAACTCATTCACTTTGAAACAATTATTTGGGAAAGGGGTTTCAGTATGAGGCCATTTTGCACCAAAACACAAGTTTTTGTATTACTAAGACAAGATTTTTTTATGTTTAAGTGGGACAGGCAGAGTCCACTTCAAGTTGTATTTATCTCATTTACTGATGGTGCTCTCAGGTTATCACAGACTAACCATAGAATCATAGAATGGTTTGGGTAAGAAGTGACCTTCAAAGCTGATCTAGTCCAACCCCCAAACACTAAGAATTAGGACAAACCTTTTCAGTTATACTCCTTGACTGAAAACAGCAAAGATTCACGCAACACAACTGGCAATAAAATAGAACATTTAATTCATTTTGCCCATTCACACCTCTACTTGCACTGATTTGCTCTGGGCTTGCCCTGTATTTCCCACAAAGCTTTCTGATCTGGGCAGGAAGTTATAAACGTTTCCAAGGGATATTTTTAACACAGGTGAAGAGTGTGTTCAAGATCTTTCCCACGAGAAGAAAACACAGCAGTGCCAGGAGGCAGCACCAAGCACTGCGTTTTCTCCCCTTTACTTAAGCATCACCTCAAAATATCCAGACATATCCCTCTGTTTTCAGCTATATCCTTCTACAACACACACACTCCTTCCCACAGACCTTCAAACTCCACTTCTGCATGGTGTGAGCTCCACAAAGTCCACGGTGCATTGCAGGAACACCTTGAAAGCCTGATGCATGCTGAATAAGTAATCCAGGCTACAGAGGAACGAGAGATGGGTGTCCTGTGTGCAATGTGAAGCAGACACTGAGGAATACCAGGACAAAACCAGGAGAAACCCCACACAAACCTGCCTACAGACTACAATGAGTGATGAAATGTGTTGGGAGCCACCAATCCAGTTCATTTGCAAAAGGGGGAACATGAAATAGAGCAGGGAAGAGCCAAAACCTCTTCTCACAAGAGAAGCAGCACACCAATATTTATGCAAATGCAATAAAATGCCATGTAAGAAGGTGTATAAACACAGAGGAAGTTTTGGGAGCACCAGGGAAAAACTGAGCAGAGAAGTCACATGCAGTAAGTGCTGTACCAAAGCTGGCAGGAAGAAAGAAAAATGGCTTTGTACCGGAGAAAGAGTCTCTCAAGCTGTTGATGTTATCAGTGAGACAGGACAATAAATTAGTGTAAAACACAGAATAAAATGGCATGCAAAGGCTGGCAAAACGGGAGGCAGGAGGTGGGTGCCAAAGGGGAGACAGTGACAGGGACGAGCTGGGGGGGGGAGATCCAGAACATCCCCAGCATCAATCCAGACAGGAAAGTAAAACTGCACTTAAGTGAGTTCACACCAAAGTAAGATGCTGCTGTGAGCAGAACGTGAGCCAGGCACAGGAGCGCAAAGAGAAAGCTGAAATGAAGATACTGTCACCTGCACAGAACCTGCACCAAAGTCTGCCATAGCCAGTTCCCACAACCAAACCTCTGCTGACCCGGAGCAGCCACTTGCTGTGGGTTTCCTGCAGCAGTAAATGGACACTGAGCCAACAGGTTGCCCAGTTGCCCAGGCAGCAGAGGAGCAAGCCCTTGGGATGCTGCACACGCAGGGGAGCACAGTGGGGACACCCAACCATCCACCCCAATCTGCCAGATGGGATGGATGACACAAGGGTGATTCCCAAATGTGCCTCGCCATAGGATGCCTCTATCTTCTCCAAACCCCCCAGAGATACTGATGCGGTCTAATGGCCGTGGGACTGGTTTCCAGCTGGTCTGGCTGGTTTTAGAGGGACTCTGGGGGGATGTCAGAGCTCTTGTCCCTAAGTATCAGCCATTCGTCTGAGATGCCTTTGCTTTGTTTTACCTTAAAGAGAACCATCTGAACCCTCAGGCTCCCTTCCCAACTCCTGATTTCCCCACTGATGGTGCCCCTGGGCCCTTTGGAGACATAAACTGTGCTCAGGCTCACTAAGCCACCCCCAACCTCCTAGAGCACGTCAGAGCAGAGCACGGTGCATCTCTGGGGATCCCTTCTCCATTCCTGGAGTTAATCAGGCAAAAGCAAAAGGGTTCTTGTAGGATTTCGACTCATGCTAACAGAGAAGGGGCCGCTGGGCTGCCCACAGCCTCAGTCCCAGCTAGCACACAGAGATGCTTCAGAAAGTCACCCGAGACCCAGCTGGTTGCAAGAAGGCACCAGCCTGCCCTGCCAGACCCAACACATGAGACCCAACGGGACCGCATCACTGCTAGCAGCATCCAGAGGTACCGATCTGGAGCAGGATCCTGCAGGAGTCATAGCCAAAATCTTTCTGTTAGAGAAGGGAAATAAGCTCATCTACAACACGATGTAACTGAGCCCAGGATTATCTGTAGAGCTTTGCTAGCTCTTAAAGAGTAATGCACTGACCTATACAAGGTCATGCAGCTGATGTTCCATCCTTCAGTAAACCAGTTCATAATCTGTTCCCTGAGCAAAACAATGCTTTGTGCTTCACAGCTGCACAGGAACACCTTCAGCATCTGCTCCAAGAGGGCAACAAGGAGGCAGCTATCAAAAATATGAGGTTATTGTGGTGCTAAGGAACATACTCTAAAAACTCCCTCATGAATGGGGAATCAGCCCTGCAACAGGCTGTCTGCAAAAGAGGACTCCAGCATCACCCACAAAGAGCACTGCCCAAGAGCACAGACCCAGAGAAACCATGCTGCTCCCAGACGGAAGAAACATGGAAACCAATCCAACAGGAAGAAGGTAGAAGACAACCCAGTGCTACTAACCCCAAACACTTCCACTGCACAGCAGTAACGCTGCAACAAGTTTTTACTGCAGGTAAGGGATATACATCTGCTGTGACTTCAAAATCCTTTCCAAGTGCTAATGTGGTAATTTTGTAAGTACATTGTACTTTGCAGATAGAATTAGCATTTTTCCCCTGAGCATCAGTTTGTGTCTATTGAAACAATGTCGCTCCATCACCTGGGCACCGAGGTCCATCACATCCAGCTACATCTCACAGTCAGCATCTGTTCTGCTGCTGTGGCTATTCCTGGTTCCCTGCTGGAAGCCTCACACCCATCCAAGAGCTGGGCCGTGCCCAGGGACACGGGCACCTCCCAGCGTGCAACCCAAGCTTGCTCCAGCTGGGGATGTCAGCTGGAGACTGCTCCATGGGGAGCATGGAGCACTACTCAGGGAGTGAACAGTCATGATCCCCCTGCTGTACATGGACACTGGCTGTGGCCTCTCCGGGCTCCTCCAGACCCCCTCACTGAGATCCTGGCTGCACTCTTCCCTTTTCACAGGGATCATCCTGACGTGAGCTGCCCCTTGCCTGGTCCTGGCCAGGTCAGCCCTGGGTGCTGCCAAAGGGAGAAGCAGGGTGGGCTGCTTCCTGTCCCCTCCCCAGTTGCCCAGCACAAGTTCCCTGTTGTTTGTGTTGGACAAAAGTGGGGTTTTGCCCCCCTCTGCAGCACTGAGCAAGGGCCCTGGCCAGGCTCCCAGGGGCCAATTCTGGCCAGCAATGTCCTGCTGCTCCTGCAGGACCAGGGCTCCTCCCACTGTGCCTGTGATGTCTCCACGTTCCTTCCCTGCAGCAGCTTTGTTTTTCTAGTTTTCAGTGATTTGCAGTGCAGGTCACCTCAGGCAATGTCCCACAGCTCCATAGTCCACAGGAGTTACTGGTTTGTAACTGCCCCTGCATACAATAAAATTATCTCTTTATTGTATCTCAGTTCTGTTGTCTGCAAACATGCCTACTTCTGCCTCCAGAACTTTGACCTTCAGAAGCATTATCAGTTACTCCAGATAATTTTTGGACTCACAGCGATGTTACCACCATTTGCAGAACTCAGCACTTTCCTCTCAGGACATCCTTCGCAGATGTCTCCTAAGGGTCTGTATTACAACATGTGAGTCTTTTCTTTCCTGCTCAGTAAGGACACCTACAATGGGTCTCACCAACACCCTTGTGCTCTGCACACTTGGATCTCACCAGCTGCCACAGTCTACCCAGGTCTGAGAGAAGGCCCTGGGGCCAGAAGAAGGAAATCAATGCAGCTATCTGTACTTGGGGACAGCACCCCAACAGATGCCTGGAGTTTTAGGAAGGCTTCTGATGTCTATCAATAATGGTCTTTTTCTACCACATTTACTGCTCAGGTGAGAGATTCTGTCTGGTTGTCATATGTGGCTTGTTTTCCACCTGAGCTCTATTCTGGACAGAACTGATAGTCAAAGACAAGAAAGCAAAACTATCCAGGTTGGACGGGGCTTGAACAACCTGCTCTAGTGGAAGGTGTCTCTGCCCGTGGTAGGGGGTTTGGAACTGGATGGGCTTTAAGGTCCCTTCTAACCCAAACCATTCTATGATTCTATGATTCCATTCTATCTGCAAGCCTGGACACACGCTGCCCCGTGCTC